CCCTCCCCAAGCCAGGGTCCGTTCACGCATCCACCTCCCCCCACCCAGCCAGGCTCGGTTCACACATCCACTTCCCCTCCCCAAGCCAGGGTCCGTTCACGCATCCACCTCCCCCCACCCAGCCAGGCTCGGTTCACACATCCACTTCCCCTCCCCAAGCCAGGGTCCGTTCACGCATCCACCTCCCCCCACCCAGCCAGGCTCGGTTCACACATCCACTTCCCCTCCCCAAGCCAGGGTCCGTTCACGCATCCACCTCCCCCCACCCAGCCAGGCTCGGTTCACACATCCACCTCCCCTCCCCAAGCCAGGGTCCGTTCACGCATCCACCTCCCCCCACCCAGCCAGGCTCGGTTCACACATCCACTTCCCCTCCCCAAGCCAGGGTCCGTTCACGCATCCACCTCCCCCCACCCAGCCAGGCTCGGTTCACGCATCCACCTCCCCTCCCCCACCCCCAGCTGGTGGCCGTGGTCATGGACGTCTTCACTGACCCAGACCTGCTTTTGGACTTGGTGAACGCCGCCACGCGCCGATGGGTACCTGTCTACCTGCTCCTGGACCGCCAGCAGCTGCCTGCCTTCCTGGCACTGGCCCAGCAGCTCGGGGTGAACCCGTGGGCCACAGAGGTAGGGGTTGGGACAGGGGGACCTATAAGTCCCCATTCCCCCGGCTTGGGGGCGGTGGGGGGAGACCCTTCCATGGAGCCCCAGGCCACTGAGATGGATGCTAGCAGGGGCGGTGGATCTGACGCCCGCAGCAGTGGGGAAGTAGGAGTGGGCATTCCTGAGGGGTCTTGAGTCACTGAGTTTGGCGTATCCCCAAGAAACGCCTGAGGGTCGATATCAGTGGCTCTGAAGAAGCTGAGACAGATAATACTTTTTTGGCGGGCGGAGGGAGAGAGAGAGAGATGGAGTCTTGCTCTGTCGCCCAGGCTAGAGTACAGTGGTCTGATCTCGGCACTGCAACCTCTGCCTTCCGGGTTCAAATGATTCTCCTGCCTCAGATTCCACAGCAGCTGGGATTACAGGCATGCGCCACCACGCCCAGCTAATTTTTGTAATTTTAGTAGAGACGGGATTTCGCCATGTTGGCCAGGCTGGTCTCAAATTCCTGACCTCAGGTGATCCGTCTGCCTCGGCCTCCCAGAGTGCTGGGATTACAGGCATGAGCCACTGCGCCCAGCCTTGGACAGATACTTCTGTCTGGTAGAACCAGCCTGGAGGGACCCTGAATCCATGGGGTGGGCCTCAGCAAGGGTGCGCCCTCCACTCCCCACACCAACAGAACGTGGATATCCGCGTCGTGCGGGGCTGCAGCTTCCAGAGCCGCTGGCGACGGCAGGTGAGCGGCGCCATGCGGGAGAAGTTTGTGCTGCTGGACGGCGAGAGGGTCATCTCAGGATCCTACAGGTGTAGCCCCCACCCCGCCCCCCACGTCCCTGCATCCTGTACCCCACTCTCCATGTGTTCAGAGGACAGCTGGCAGCCCCTGCCCAGGCCTCTCTTTTCTCACCTTTATAATGGGGGCGAAAGATCCTTTCCTGGGGAGGAGGTGGGTGCTGGGGCCGGCCCTGGTGCTGACCCGTCGAGTGGCCTTGGGTAAGTCTGTTTCTCTTTGACCCTGTGTTTTCTCATTTGGAAAACTGGGCAAAGTTTGGGGGTGGGGTTTGTTCAAAATCAGGAGCACCTGGATTGGGATCTGAGCTCTGCTTTCGGTAAATAACTCCACCTAGGCCAGGTGCGGTGGCTCACGCCTGTAATCCCAGCACTTTGGGAGGCCCAGGTGGGTGGATCACGAGGTCAGGAGTTTCAGACCAGCTTGGTCAATACGGTGAAACGCTATCTCTACTAAAAATACAAAAATTAGCCAGGTGTGGTGGTGGGCACCTGTAATCCCAGCTATTCGGGAGGCTGAGGCAGAAGAATCGCTTGAACACGGGAGATGGAGGTTGCGGTGAGCCGAGATCGCGCCATTGCACTCTAGCCTGGGTGACAAGAGCAAAACTCCTTCTAAAAAAAAAAAAAAAAAAGTGAGGAGCCAGGCGCAGTGGCTCATACACCTGTAATTCCAAAATTTTGAGAGGCCAAGGCAGGTGGATCCCTTGAGCTCAGGAGGTTGAGACCAGCCTGGGCAACATGGTGAAACCCCATCTCTACAAAAAGTACAAAAATTAGCCAGGCAAGGTGGTACATGCCTGTGGTCCCAGCTACTTGAGGGACTGAAGCAGAAGGATTGTTTGACCCCGGGGGATTGAGGCTGCAGTGAGCCGAGTTGGCATCACTGCACTACAGCCTGGATATCATTGATATCAAAGTGAGACCCTGTCTCAAAAAAAAGAATGTGGCAAATATAATGTAGCCTTTTCTTGATGACTCGGGGAAATCACTTATGATCAAAAATTGTATTTCTGCTTGTAATCCCAGCACTTTGGGAGGCCAAAGTGAGACCCCTTGAGGTCAGGAATTTGAGATCAGCCTGGCCAACGTGGTGAAACCCTGTCTCTACTAAGAATACAAAAATTAGCAGGGCATAGTGATGCATGGCTGTAATCCCAGCTACTCGAGAGGCTGAGGCAGGAGAATAGCTTGAACACAGGAGGCAGAAGCTGCAGTGAGCCAAGTCTGCACCACTGCACTTCAGTCTGGGTGACAAGAGTAAAACACTGTCTCAAAAAAAAAAAAAAAAAAACTACTGTATTTCAATTCAATAAGCATTTACTGAGCCTCTCTACTTTGTGCCAAGTACTACACATTGACCTTTAACCATTTTTTAATTTAGTTTAAAACTAGGCCTTGAAAACATTATGCTAAATGAAAGATGTCAGACCCAAAGGACCATAAATTTGTATGATTCCATTTATATGAAATGCCAAGAATAGTAATGGCAAGTCTGTAAAGACAGAAAGTAGATGAGTGGCTGCCCGGGGCTAGGAGGACTGGGGCGCAGTGGCTAGTGCGTGGTGATGACGACAATCTAATGACATCTGGGGCAATGATAATGCTCTGCTGATTGTGGTGGTGGAGACACAACTCTGAATATATCAAAAAGCGACTCCACAGTACACTGTAAAGAAGTGAACTGTGCAGTGTGTGAAATATATCACAATAAAGCCTATTTTCTAAAACAAAAAAATGTTGGCAATGTTTGGAAAATAGAAAGAGACAGTACCTGAACAAGGATGAGGAAGGGAGGAGAGTGGGCCGGGCTGGGTCAAAATTATGATCAGTCCCTATTTGTCTCCGTAGGATCCTTTGCCCCTCCTGGACTAGCTTAGGACACTCTGCTACTCCACCGTCTACTCTCCAGCCTGTTCCCATGCCTGCCTGTGACAGCTTCTATAGCATCTGCTGCTCCCCATCAGCTCTGGTTCGGAAAACCACAGAGGTTCAAGGCTGGGCTTGGGAGTTGGAAAGCCTCAGGTTTTAGGATGAGGGTGTGACCTGTACCAGCAATGTGACCTTTGGCAAATTTTTTAACCCCACCACTTTTTTTTTTTCTTTTNTCTCAAAAAAAAAAAAAAAATGGCCCTTCATGGTGACTTATGCCTGTAATCCCAGCACTTTAACAGGCCAAGGCAGGCATTATCAGCTGAGGTCAGGAGTTCAAGACCAGCCTAGCCAACATGGTGACACCCCTGTCTTCCCAGCTACTTGGGAGGTTGAGGCAGGAGAATCACTTGAACGCAGGAGACGGAGGCTGCAGTGAGCCAAGATCACGCCAGTGCACTCCAGCCTGGGAGACAGAGTGAGACTCAGTCTCAAAAACAACACACAAAAACAGAAACTCCAAATAATAACAGCACCTACCTCACAGGGTCACAGCACAGTGTGGGAGGAGAGGCGTGTGACCTCCGGGATCAGACTTTTCAAATTCTAGCTCTGTCAGTTCCTCGCTGTGTGGCCTCAGGCAACTTGCTTCACCCATCTGTGTCTTGGTTTCCCCCTCTACATCAAGGGCTGATAGGGTTAGAGCCTCTGGAACCAGGTCCCTCAACAGGGCTAGCACCCACACTTGGGCTGGCTGAGTCTTTGCTGCGGGGCCGCTGGGTGCGTTGTGGGAGATTGCTCGGCATCTTCAGCCTCAGCCCAGCAGAGGGCAGTAGCATCGCACGCCCCACACCGGCGGTGTTCCTGCCAATTAGAGCCACTGAAAACCTCTTCAGACAGCAGAGATGCCTGCTGGGGAGCACAAGTGCCCAGCTGAGAACTATGCTCAGGATCAGTGGCTTTCAACCCTGTGCGTGCACCACAATCCCTGGGAGCGCTTGTTAAAGCACAGCTTTTGTAGCAGATGATTCAAGAAATGGAAAAGGAGAGAGAAAAAGGAAGAAGGCCAGGCACAGTAGCTCATGCCTGCACTTTGGAAGGCTGAGGCGGGAGGATCGCTTGAGCCCAGGACCTCAAGACCAGCCTGGGTGACACAGCGGGACCCCATCTCTACAAGAATTAAATGCAAATTAGTCAGGCGTGGTGGTTCGCACTTGTATTCCCAGCTACTCAGGAGGCTGAGGTGGGAGGATCTCTTGAGGCGCGGAGGTAGAGGCTGCAGTGAGCCAAGATTGCACCACTGCACTCCAGCCTGGGCAGCAGAGTAAAGCCCCGTTTCAAAAGAAAGGGAAGGAAGAAAGGGAGGGAGGAAGGAAGGAGAGAAAACAACACACTCCCACGCCCACTCCCGTTCATCGTGCCTAGAACAGGGCCTGAGAATCTGCATTTTCAGTGACTTTGATGCTGCTGCTGTTTCTGGTCCAGGGACCACATTTTGAAAACCAGTGGAATTGAGACTGGGATGTTTGGAAGAGTGCTGACCTTCCCAGCTTTGAGTGAGGATTTTCAGTGGCATGTGACATAAGACAGGCTTGGCCATGTGCCGTGGCTCACACCTGTAATCCCAACACTTTGGGAGGCTGAGGTGGGATGATCAACTGAGCCCAGGAATCCGAGACCAGCCTGGGCAACATAGATGGACCTTATCTCTACGAAAAAAAAAGAGAATGCTCCATAAACATCAGCTGTCGTTTATTATGATATATATATATCTTTTACCATATTTCATGGACTCTAAGGTGCCATCAATGGAAAGAAGCATCCTGATTGAAATGTGAGAAGCTCTGCCTCTTAGAGCCAGTGAAACAGAGTAGCACCGTCAGACCCACCGGCCACGCTCCCCTGCCGCTCAATCAGGCCTGGGGGCTTCTCCGAGCACCGGGCTCATGGTGGACAGCCTTGGAAGGGATGGCCTCTTTGGCCATTTCGTGGGCGAAGGAGACAGGGACATGGAGGGTTGCGGATCTGGGAGACCAGCCCCAGGCCCTGTCCTCCCTGTTGGTCACAGCAAACGTGGAGGAAGCAGCATGCCCAGCCCCAGTGCCAGGCTGGTGGTGGCCCCTGCCGTCTGGCTGCTGGCGGGGCCTGGGGCTCTGTTGCACAGGTGGCCAGCGCAGCAGGTGGTGGTGAGGCTGTAGGTGACGCCCTTGTAGCTGACGGGTTCCTCACGGCCGCAGCTGGTGGCTTGCACGCAGCCTTTGTTGATGATGGGACCGGTGTCTGGGGCAACCCCGCGGCCCGTGAAGCAGTCCTCGTCATCGCCACAGCGCATGGGGGTGCCGGGACACTGCGTGGAGTCGGTGAGCTCACAGAAGATGCAGTCCTTGACACCCGTCGTGCCTGGGGTCAGAGCCATCACCAGAAGCAGCAGCCAGCCCAGGACCATGGTGGTCTGGTGACGCTGACACTGCCCCAGCCAGGCTGCTGGCTTCCCGGACCTCCCGGAACCGCCTCCTGCCCACGCAACTTGGGTCTTGGTCCTGGCCTCCCAGGGTCAGCGCCTGGACTGTCCTCTGTTCCCAACGCCCTGCGTCCCTCTAGGTCCTGGGGATAGAGGGGAGTGGTGGCTGCTCCTCTATCTCATTCAAGTCTGTGAATGGAATGAGTGACCTCACAGACCCCTCAGGGTTCCTACTGGCTGCTCTGGGGATGACGTCACAGGTGAGAGGAGTGGGTGTCACAATTCAAGGGGTAGCCTGCCCACTGACCTGCCAGGGCACAAGAGGACTCTGACACCCCTGCCAAGGTGAAGACGCCCTGAACCCCGAGGACACTGGTCGCAAGCTTGTCCACATTCTCTGTGCTGCACCTGCGAAGGGCTTGAGTTCAGCCTCACACCCCCCTTGGTGACCCCATTTTCCAGATGGGCAAACTGAGGCTGGGGAAGGTGATACATCCGGGGTTCCTGAGCCAGGATGAGGGCCCAGGTTCATTGAATTCCAAAGAGGATGGGAAAGAAAAGGGTGTATGAACTCTTGCTGTGTGCCAAGGTCCATGCTCAGTGCTTGCTTGCTTTTTTTTTGAGACGGAGTTTTGCTCTTGTTGCCAACTGGAGTGCAATGGTGCGATCTTGGCTCACTGCAACCTCCGCCTCCCGGATTCAAGCAACTCTCCTGCCTCAGTCTCCCAAGTAGCTGGGATTACAGGTGCATGCACCACCATGCCCAGATAATTTTGTATTTTTAGTAGAGATGGGGTTTCACCATGTTGATCAGGCGGGTCTCATGACCCACCCACCTTGGTGTCCCAAAGTGCTGGGATTACAGGCGTGAGCCACCATGCCTGTCCATTTTATTTAGTTTTTTATTTTTATTTAAAAATATTGCCTGGGCATGGTGGCTCATGCCTGTAATCCCAGCACTTTGGGAGACCAAGGCGGGCAGATCACCTGATGTCGGGAGTTCGAGATCAGCCTGGCCAAATGGTGAAACCCCATCCTACTAAAAGTACAAAAATTAGCCAGGCGTGATGGTACATGCCTGTAATCCCAAGCTACTCGGGAGGCTGAGGCAGGGAGAATAGCTTAAACCTGGGAGATGGAGGTTATTGTGAGCCAAGATCATGCCACTGCACTCCAGCCTAGGTGACAGAGCAAGACTCTGTCTCAAAAAAAAAAAAAAAAATTAACGATTTTTTTTTAGAGATAGGATCTTGCTCTGTTGCCCAGGGTGGAGTGTAGTGTCACAGTCTTGGCTCACTGCAGCCTTGACCTACCAGGCTCAAGTGATTCTTCTGGCTGAGACTCCAGAGTAGCTGGGACTACAGGCACGCACCACCATGCCCAGCAAATTTTGTAAAATTTTTTGTAGAGATGGGGGTCTCACTATATTGCCCAGGCTGGTCTCGAACTCCTAGCCTCAAGCATTCCTCCTGCCTTGGCTTCTGGGATTACAGGCGTGAGCCACCGCACCCAGCCTTCCTAGGTTTTGGCTCCATATTGCAGATGAGCACTGCGGGGAGCAGGAATGTGGAGTTTGGTGTGCATCCAGGGTTTACTAAATGGCAGTCGTTCTAGGAAGCAGCTGGGTCTTACAACTATCCCTGTGAGTGTTTGGAAGTGAATGCCATCTCTCTCCAAAGAAGAAAACTGAGGCACTGAGGTGTTCCTAAGTGGGAACCAGGTAGAGCCCAGGTTTAAACTCCAGTTGGATTCAGATAAGCTTTTTTTTTTTTTTTTTTTAAAGATAGAGTCTCACTCTGTCACCCAGGCTGGAGTGCAGTGGTGGGATCTTGGCTCACTGCAACCTCTGCCTCCTGGATTCAAGCGATTGTCCTGCCTCAGCCTCCTGAGTAGCTGGGATTATAGGTGTGCAACACCATGCCTGGTTAATTTCTGTATTTTTAGTAGAGAGAGGGTTTCACCATGTTGGTCAGGCTGGTCTCAAACTCCCGACTTTGTGATCTAACTCAGTCTCCCAAAGTGCTGGGATTACAGGCGTGAGCCACTGTGCCTGGCTTTTTTTTTTGGTGGGGGAGGGGGGAACAGGGTCTTGCTCTGTTGCCCAGGCTGGAATGCAGTGGTATGATCACGGCTCACTGCAGCCTCAGTCTCCCAGGCTCAGCCGGGCATGGTGGCTCACGCCTGTAATCCCAGCACTTTGGGAGGCTGAGGTGGGTGGATCACCTGAGGTCAGGAGTTTGAGACCAGCCTGGCCAACGTGGTGACATCTCATCTCTGCTAAAAATACAAAAAAATAGCTGGCCGTTGTGACGGGCGCCTGCAATCCCAGCTACTCAGGAGGCTGATGCAGGAGATTCACTTGAACTCGGGAAGTGGAGGTTGCAGTGAGCCAAGATTGTGCCATTGTGCTCCAGCCTGGGCAGCGGAAACTCTCAAAAAAAAAAATTTTTTTTTTCCCAGGCTCAAGGGATCCCCCCACCTCAGTCTCCCAAGTGGCTGGGAGTGCAGGCGTTTGCTACCACACCTGGCTGTTGTTTTTGATTTTTTGTAGAGACAGGGTCTCGCCATGTTGCCCAGGCTGGTGTCAAACTCCTGGGCTCAAGCAGCCCTCCCGCCTCAGCCTCCCAAAGTGTGAGCCACCGTGCCTAGCCATGATTATAATATAAGCGTCTTAACTTGGGCTGTCTTCACACCACCTCTCGGCGGTAGGGACTTCAGTTCTCCCCATTCTACAAACTGGGAAGCTGAGGCTGGAGAGGTCAGGACTCGCCTGAGGTCCTGCAGCCTCCCCTGGGACCCGGCTGGGGGTGGGGCAGGGCTGACCCCTCACTCCCCGGCCCCCAGCTTCACGTGGAGTGACGCCCGCCTGCACCGAGGCCTGGTGACCCTGCTGACCGGTGAAATCGTCGACGCCTTCAGCCTTGAGTTCCGGACGCTGTATGCGACCTCCTGGCCGCTCCCACCTGCACCCCGCCAGGGACCCTCAGTCATGGGGGGCCTGCAGCGGGGCCACAGCCCGCACCGCGTGTCCCGCCGCCGCTCTGTGGCCCCTGTATCGCCTCCGCCGCCTGATGGCCCGCTGGCCCACCGCCTGGCCGCCTGCCGAGTGTCCCCTGCCACCCCAGGGCCGGCACTCAGTGACATCCTAAGGAGCATGCAGCGCGCCCGGACCTCCAGCGGTCCCCCGGCCCGGCCCAGCCGCTCCCTGTGGGACCTAAGCCGCCTGTCCCAGCTGTCTGGCTCCAGTGATGGGGACAATGAGGTGAGACTTTGTGGCTGGTGCTAGAAGAGATGGAGCCCAGAAAGGGGAGGACGTTTGCCCAGGGTTGTGTAGCCTGGCTTCGGGGACCCTGCTCCAAGCCACAGAGCGCTTCCTGAGGGCCCATGCCCTAGATTCCTAATGGCATCATTTGTTCATTTCCTGCACCCCTACTGCGTGCCAGGCAGGTGGTGCTGGGTGGTGTGGGGCAGAGACAGGAGAGCCCTGGGTGCAAATCCCGGCAGGATACACTAGGTGGGGGTTGGGGGGAAGCCAAATACTTGACTTCTCTGACCCTCAGTATCTTCATCAAGGAATGGGTAGAGCAAGGGCACTCATCTTGTGTTTGGCTGTGGGAGGACGCCATGTGGCTAAATGAAATAGAGCCGTAATGATACAACAATACATTCCTGAAACAGGGAGTTCGAGACCATCCTGGCCAATGTGGTGAAATCCCGTCTCTACTAAAAATAGTAGAAAGATTAGCTGGGTGTGGTGGGCACACCTGTAGTCCCAGCTACTCGGGAGGCTAAGGCAGGAGAATCAGTAGCAGTGAGCCGAGATCGTTCCACTGCACTCTAGCCTGGCAACAGAGTGAGACTGTCTCAAAATAATAAACAATAAATAGGCCAGCTGTGGTGGCTCCCGCCTGTAATCCCATGGGAGGCCGAGGTGGGCAGATCACGAGGTCAGGAGTTGGAGACCAGCCTGGCCAACATAGTGAAACCCCATCTCTACTAAAAATACAGAAATTAGCCAGGCGTGGTGGTGCACACCTGTAATCCCAGCTACTCAGGAGGCTGAGGCAGGAGAATCACTTGAACCTGGGAGGCGGAGGCTGCAGTGAGCCGAGATTGCGCCATTGCACTCCAGTCTGGGCGACAGAATAAGACTCCATCTAATAAATAAATAAATTCCTGAAGTGGAATTTATTTATTTTGTGACATCCTCATCCCAGGCCAGGAAGGCCACATTCCTTTTTTTTTTCTTTTTGAGATAGGATCTTGCTCTGGAATATCCTGGGAATCAAGAATTGTCCCCCTCCATCCCAGGCAAGGAAGCCTCCTAGCTGGAGAGGAGACGGGGGATGGGCAGGGGCAAGGTCCTCACCTCCACCTGGTTCTGAGTGCCCTCACCCAGCATCCCCTCCCTGGGCAAATATTTGCTCCCCCTGGCAGATGCCAGCGCTTCCAGTTCCTCCCCAGCTGCAGAGGTGGGGACCCAGCTCCCTGTCCCCTCTGTAGGTTGCAGGGAGTCCCAGGCCTGCCCTCCCACTTCCCCACTTCCCTCTCTGGCTTCCTTCGCGGTCCTCCTCCTCTGCAGCCCGCTCCTCTCTTTCCCTCCTCCTGCTGCCTCCCTGCCCCTGCCTCTTCCCCTCCTCCTTCCCCTTTCACCCCCTCTGTCTCCTCTTGCTCCTTCCTGGCTCCCTTCCTCCCTCCTCTCCTTTTTTTCTCCTCCCTCACCTTCTCCCTTACCCCTTCCTCCTCCTCTCACCTTTTTTTTTTTTTTTTGGAGACAGGGTTTCACTCTGTCTCCCAGGCTGGAATGCAGTGGCGGGATCTCAGCTCACTGTAGCCTCAACCTCCTGGGCTCAAGCGATCCTCCCACCTCAGCCTCCCAAGTAGCTAGGATTACAGGTGCATCCATCACACCCAGCTAATTTTTGTGTTTTTTGTAGAGATGAAGTCTCGCTGTGTTGCCCAGGTTGGTCTCGAACTCCTGAGCTCAAGCCATCCAAAGTGCTGGGATTAGAGGCGTGAGCCCTCACACCCAGCCTCCACCTCTCACCTCCCTCTCTCCTCTCTTCCCTCCCTTCCCTCCCTCGTCCTCTCCTTCCACCTACCTCACATCCTCTACCACTTTCTTTTTTGTTTTGTTTTTTGAGACTGAGTCTCACTCTGTCACCCAGGCTGGAGTGCAGCGGTGAGATCTCAACTCAATGCCACTGATTCTACCGCAACCTCTGCCTTCCGGGTTCAAGCGATTCTCCTGTCTCAACCACCCACATAGCTGGGATTACAGGTGCCCACCACCACGCCCGGCTAATTTTTCTATTTTTCGTAGAGATGGGGTTTCACCATATTGGCCAGGCTGGTCTCAAACTCCTGACCTCAAGTGATCCAACTGCCTCTGCCTCCCAAAGTGCTGGGATTACAGGCATGAGCCACTGCGCCCGGCTGTGTGTCACTTTCCCTGTTTCTCTCTTGCCTCACCTCCTGCCTTCCCTGGCTCTGGGATGCCCCCAGGTCCCTACCTCAGCCTCCTCTCACCTCTCTCTCTTTCCCTCCACAGCTCAAGAAGTCCTGGGGCTCCAAGGACACCCCAGCCAAGGCTCTGATGAGGCAGCGGGGCACTGGAGGAGGCCCCCGGGGGGAGGCAGACCCCCGACTTCCACTGCCATGGCCCCAGCCCTGGGGCAGTGCCCTGCCCCTGCCCCCTACCCGCCGTCTCCGCTACATGTCCCCAGCCCAAAGGCGGCTTGGTGGGGATGCTACACTGAAACTTCCTGAGCCCAGAGGCGTCAGGCCTACAGACTGGGCACCCCGGCCAGGAGTTGGGGGGCCACCCTGACCAGGAGCCCAAGCCAAATCTGCTGGCCCACCCAAGGAGTAGAGCCAGACTACTGTCAGCTCAGAGCCCCCTGCTGTGCTGCCCTCCCTTGGACAAGGCTTCTGGCCTCGGTGTAAAGTGGAGGGTTGTTCTTGCCTTGTTCTGCAACTTGGGGCCGGCCGGGCGCAGCGGTGCAGGCCTGCGATCCCAGCATTTTGGGAGGCTGAGGTGGGAGGGTTGCTTGAGACCAGGAGTTGCAGACCCACCTGGGAAACACAGGGAGACCCCATCTCTACAATAAATAAAACAAATCAGCTGGGTGTGGTGGCGCACGCCTGTAGTCCCAGCTACTCGGGAGGCTGAGGTGGGAGGGTCTATTGAGCTCAGGAGGTAGAGGCAGCAGTGAGCCAAGATCGTGTCATTGTGCTCCAGCCTGGGCGACACAGCAAGAGGCTGTCTCCTAAAAAAATAAAATAAAAAGCCGGGTGAGGTGGCTCACTCCTGTTATCCCAGCACTTTAGGAGGCTGAAGGCTGGTGGATCACCTGAGGTCAGGAGTTCAAGACCAACCTGACCAACATGGTGAAATTCCATCTCTCCTAAATACAAAAACTAGCCAGGCGTGGTGGTGGTGGACACCTGTAACCCAGATACTTGGGAGGCCAAGCCAGGAGAATCGCTTGAACCCGGGAGACACAGGTTACAGCGAGCCAAGATCATGCCACTGCACTCCAGCCTGGGCAACAGAACAAGACTCCATCTCAAAAAAAAAAGAGAAAAGGACTTGGGCAAGCCCATTGCCTGCACCGGACCTCAGTGTCACAGCCCAGAAAATGGGCTGGAAGTGTCCACCAGCTGCAGATCCTAAAAAGCACAGGCGCTGCTCCCGAGGGTCGGGCCTTCCGGAGGAGAGGCGGGCTCGGGCACCGCTGGAGCTGTGGCGGGAAGACGAGGAGCTGCTGCCAAGCACACTGTGCCCAGGAGCTGTGGGGAAACTGAGGCAAGGAGCTGAATAATGAGGGACTGGAGGGTAGTGCAGACATAGCCGCCGGGCAATGGGGTGGGTGGCGGGACTTTCTGTGGGTGCTGAGGGGACAGGTCTGCCGGAACTCCGCTTTATCTCTGCTTGGAATAAAACTGCTTCATGCCAAAAACGTGTTACCACAGCCTGGCTTCAAATCCAGGAGTCCACAACCCAGCCTGCTCCTCCTTCCGACCCAAAAGTCCAGGCCCCCAGCCCCTCCTCCCTCAGACCCAGGGGTCCAGGCCCCCAGCCCCTCCTCCCTCAGACCCAGGGGTCTCTAC